CTGGGCCCTTGGGTTTGCCCAACATAGACATCTTTGAAACTTATGAGGTGGCCCACATTGATACGTCATTTACTGGAGTGAAGCTGATTTGTTGGCGAAAAGTAGCCACATTTTTTAAAAACTAAAGTCTGCTTCCTAATAGTGTACCACTACAGCCTGATAACAATCCTCTGTTATCCCAATAACAACCTACAAAAACATATCTTGTGCTCTTGTAGCCAAACAAAAATGTTGTTTTGACGCACCAGGGAATCCCATTTCACTACCGTGGCAAGAAATGTTTAGTATGCTAGTATCTTACTTCTCATTGAATAGGGTCCAAAGATTGAGAGATAAGCATGTTGCTAACATTCTTAAAGTTATCAACTTTGCAATAAGATATAAGTCAAACTGTTGTTTAGTCATCTTTAATCGTGTTTCCCTGTTTAATATAGTGTTGAAGATATGCTCTATGTCATTGTGGGAAGGTTGTGCTAATGTTGTTTTTGCGTTTGCAGTGGAGTGTATGAGGTGTAACGGGGAGGACTACAACGGACCGATGGATCATACAGAGACTGGGAAGGAGTGTCAGAGATGGGATTCAGCCAAGCCCCACAGACACCCCTACCAACCTAAAAAGTCAGTAAGGAAACCCATAGCCTTATGTGTTTAGTTAATTTATAGCACTGTAAGTTATGGCTAACGTCACTTACTTTGAAGGGAATTATTGCTTTTTATTACTTCAAAGTAAATTGTTTGTGATTTTTGGATTAGCCCACTGCTGTTAGTTAGTCAACCTTATTGTATGCAGTGAATGTGGTGTAGGTCTGTGGATGAAAGCCTGTGCAAGTGACTACAATGTTAAAAGGAAATGAGTGATTCCCCATGAAAGCACAGACTAAGACCAACCGCACGTGCACTCCCCATCATGATCACACACACACAAACACACACACACTCACAGACAAAACACACACACACACACACACACACACACACCACACAAACCTACACAAAACACTCCCTATCCTAATACACAGGAGATGAAGAGACATTTCACCACTAATTTAGGTCCAAGTTTTAATCAAAAGGGAGCAGAAAAGAGAGACGAGAGGAAGGAGGAAGGAAGGAAGGAAGGAAGGAAGGAAGGAAGGGAAGGAAGGAAGGAAGGAAGAGGAAGGAAGGGGGAAGAAGGGAAGGAAGGAAGGAAGGAAGGAAGGAAGGAGGAAGAAGGAAGGAAGGAAGGAAGGAAGGAGGAAGGAAGCGGAATGACGGAGAGAGAGAGAGAGAGAGAGAGCGCGAGAACGAGAGAGAGAGAGAGAGAGATGAGAGGAGAGAGTAGTAGAGAGAGAGAGAGCTTCCGATTCTCTTATATCTATACTTCATATCTCTATCTTACTCTCTCATAGTCTTATCTTCTGCTCTCTATTCTTTACCTAATTATAATTTGTTCGGTCTTTCTTCACAGGTACCCTGATAAAGGGCTGAATGACAACTACTGCCGGAACCCGGACAACCGTCTGCATCCGTGGTGTTACACCATGGACCCACACACACCCTGGGAGTACTGCAACATCAGTGTGTGTGGTGAGTGTGCTTTCCTACTGTGTTCTTCTCTATCCCAAACAGGGAACACTGTCTGATGATACTGGTATGACATACCAACGCTGAGAACGTTACATCATCAGCCTGGTTTTGTGGTCTCAGTGTAGTGTACAATTGTGCTGTGTTGTGTTGTGTTATGTTGGGTTGGGTTGTGTTGTGTTCTGTTTAGTTGTGTTGGGTTGTGTTGGGTTGTGCTCTGTTCTGTGGTGTTGTCTTGTGTTCTGTTGGGTTGTGTTGTGTTCTGTGGTGTTGTCTTGTGTTCTGTTGGGTTGTGTTGGGTTGTGTTGGGTTGGGTTCTGTTGGGTTGTGTTGTGTTCTTTTGGGTTGTGTTCTGTTGGGTTGCGTTGTGTTCTGTGGTGTTGTCTTGTGTTCTGTTGTGTTGGGTTGTGTTCTGTTGGGTTGTGTTGTGTTGTGTTGGGTTGGGTTCTGTTGGGTTGTGTTGGGTTGGGTTGTGTGGTGTGGTGTTCTGTTGTGTTGTGTTGGGTTATGTTTTGTTGGGTTGTGTCGAGGTCGAGGTGGAGCATGAAGCACTGACATAGTAAAGAAGAATAGCGGATGGTTCCCCTTTGTCCTGCACACATACACACACACACACACACACCTCGTCCGGATCCTCATTAATGCGACGTCACAGCTCCCTCTATGAAAGAGGGGCACCCTGTCCCTCCCAATACTTTACCATTCTCTCAAACACATTCCCCATTCCCTTTGAATAAACTATATATGCCCATACTACTTCACTAAACAAACCATCATCTCCCCATTAGTCCTTCATAGCAGTGGAATAGAAATCTAATAGGAGACTCCCACCGAATTCAACAGAACTCTTCAATATTTCTATGTATTTATCTGTATGGGGATTCTACTGTGATCAGAGGGGAAGAGAAGGGACAATACTGAGTCTGTAGCGGGGCTTTCTAACTTTATTTAACCAGGAATGAGCCTTGAGGTTAGAAACCTATTTTGCGAGGGCAATCACTGTGATTGATGTGGTGGTTTTAGGGAGGGCTGGGCAGTGGCTTTGGGAGTACCCAAGTGTTTTTTGGTAGAGGGGCCACAATGGTGGTTTGGGGGGATAACGAGATAAGTATAGGAGCCCTCCAAAGGAGACAGGGAGAGGCTTTGTTTGGGATATTTAGTGTTTCATGTGGTTCTAAGCTGAAAGCTATTTACCTCAGAGTGAAGACAAGTAGCCTGTGTTTGTTGACTGCGGGGGAGGGAAAATTTGACGGTTTAATTTAGACCACTGAAAGACAACAAAGCACTATGAAACTATTTATTATGGGTCAAATCCTAACTTCCACATCAATGCATGACTAAGGATGAGTTTACACAAGCAACCCAATTCTGATATTTTTCCACTAATTGGTAATTTCACCAATCAGATCAGCTCCATTTGCCAATAATGTAATAATTGGGGGGGGGGGGGGGGGGGGGGTTGAAGAGGATAGAAACCACTTTTAGACAGTTTAATATTCTTCATCCAAAGGGATGTTGACCTTGAGCCAACGGCCCCGCCCGGCTGAGGACCATGATTTACAACCAGGGAGTAGAAAATAATTTGTCCAGATGGATTCTGCACTGCCTAACCTGTAGATAAACCAGGTGACCCGACGTTAGATGCCGGCATGCATTACATCAAGCAAAAAGAACATCCTCCTTCTTTTCTTTCTCCCTCTCCAAACATTCCCTTCCTCCTCTTTTGGTCTGTCCGCGGCTCGTTTATCAAACGGTATAGAAACACAAATCCCACAAATCCGGAGGGGTTGCAGAAATTCCGACAAATCCGTCCCTGTACACTGTAACATGAAAAAGAGATGTTTGGGATAGTTTTTTTGGAGGCCGGAGGGCCAGGAAGCCTTGTTAAGCGGGCTGAATGCAGGGTTGTTTGGCTTGGCGGTGAGCACCACATCAGGCCTTCGTTATAGTAACCCACCCTTACGGTCACACATGTAAGAGGCCAAGCTACCCAAGCTATATGGATCTAGCTAGGCTCAACCCACACATGCATGTTCCTCCTGCCAAAAACTGATATGGGACACTGTACACCATGAATGAGGCCAGGACAGTATAGGATAGAGGGGATTCGCAAATGCTAGATAGTAGATATTCCCCTTTTGTAGCCTTTTGTAGATCTATGAGCACTATGTTTGAAAAGGACTTAAGTATTTTAGTACTTAACTAAATAAAGATACTAGATACACAAACTAAACTCATCTAAACTCCCCCAAAAATCTGTCGGATATCAGATACTCAAATTTTTATACCCACTTTTTCCTGACCCTCAGATATAGGATACCCAATACCCTATAACCTACCCTGGCTGTCCAGTCTGTTTGTGCAATTAGCCTACTACTCTCTGTGTTCGTTCATTAAATGGCATGATAAAAATAGAAGAGTTGGCTAAAACCCATTCCCACTAGTCTCAAACTGTAAGTCTGAGGTCTGTTGTAGTGTTCGTTTCGCTATGTCTCGTGGTTTTGGATAAATAGAGAGATTATTGACCATACAGTACTACAGATATAGGATGTTAATTTGATCACTCTTATGTTGCTGAGAATTTTCCTGCACTTCAGAAAATGCAGAGGTTCGTGATTTACATAAATTCACTGAAAATACGCACACGGTATATTAACAGTATTGCACTTTTCATGTAGTTTACTTTTATCCAGCTAATAGCCTAACCACCGATCAAGCGACATTATGGACTAAACAGGACTTTTGCTTCAACAATGCTGGTCAAATTAAGATCATACTATTGTACTGACTGTTTACGATAATTTGTCTCTAGGCTAAACATGACCCATTCTCTGAGATGAATTTTCTTTTCTCCGATCACTCTCAGTGTTTCCTCACGAATAACAAATTGAGAGGTATGTAGCGGAAGTAAAAAAGAAAGAGAAAGAGAAAAAGACAGAGAAGATAGTATTATTTTTTTTAATTTTTTTCCCCCTTCAAATTGGGCCCCCAAACCCCAAAACCCCCGGGTTGATTTGTTTCTTCCCAAACCTTTTGTTTTTTAATAAAGGTATAAAAATAAAAAAAGGGGGTTGGTTAAAAAACCCTTTTAAGTTCAAATTTCTGATTTGAGTGGTTTTTTTTTTGGTAAAAAAAAGTTATTCCCATAATCACAAAAAGGTTTTTAAATTTATTTTGTTTAGTTTTCCCGTTTCAAAAAAAGGGGTTTCGGATTTTTAAAAAGGGGAAAAAAAAGGTTAAAAATTTGATTTTCAGTTTTTTTTTCAGTAAACCAAAAACCCTTTTAAAATTTTTTCCCCCCCCCCTTTTCCCCCTTTTTTTTTTTTTTTTTTTTTCCCCCCCCCCTTTTTTTTTTTTTGGGGGGGCCCCCCCCCCCCCCCCCCCCCCCCAAAAAAAAAAAAAAAAAAAAAAAAGGGGGGGGGGGGGGGGGGGGGGGGAAAAAAACCATTCTCTGTCTCGTTTTTCACCCTCTCAATCCCCTTTACATTATTTCTTTCTCTCTATCCATCTCCCCTCATCTTATCTATTGCTCATCTCTCATCCTAAATCCTCTGTTTCTCTCTCTTACTCTCTGTCTCTCCTCTTGTCCCTGTACCCACCCCCATCTCTCTGTTTTTATCCCTCTCTCTCTCACCTTCCCTCTTCTCCTCCCACTCTCCGTCTCAGAACCAGGTAATGACTCTGATGTGGACGCTACATCGTCATGTTTCAGGGAGCAGGGACAGAGTTACCGCGGTAATGTGAGCGTCACGCCGTCGGGCGTCACATGTCAACGCTGGGACTCCCAGTTCCCCCATAACCACTCCTACAGCCCGCAGAACTACAAGTGCAAGTGAGTGATGATGTCATTCAATACCCACATGGGTTTTCTTTTGTTTCTGTCACTGGTACGAGAAATATAGGGAATAAACACATACAGTCATATTATTGCGTATGTCCACTTGGGAAGCAGCTATTTAACCAGTGTGTACATATCTCTCTCTTGCTACCATCACAGAGATCTGAGAGAGAAACTACTGTCGGAACCCAGATGGTGCAGAGATCCCATGGTGCTTCACTACAGATCCTAACCAGAGACTAGCCTTCTGCACCAATATACCCCGGTGTGAGACAGAGAGCATCGACACAGAAGGTGAGACACAGTTTCCTTTTCCAGTTGACATGCTCTTCTAACCTGGCACCCAACGACTTTTATGTAAGGACTATTGTGTTGATTCTACTGAGACATAACACCGCACAGCACACTGGCCCCCATACACTACATGAGAATCACAATCACCTTTATTCGCCTAGTACATTTGCCCGGAATTAGATTTTATGTTATGGTACTCCCACAGTAAACAGAGTAAATAGACAGAATAATGTACATGAAGAATAATATGAATTTACAAAAATCCACATGCAGTATGTTCACTTTAAACAGCAAAAAAAGTATAATTTTGCATGGTACAGATGTTTAAACAATATACTGTATGCTATATGAATGACTACATATGTGGTGTAATCGGGTGTATTGCTGTTACATACTGTATTTGCAATTGAACTCAAAACTATATTGTGAATGCACTGTGATCGCTGGTGTGGATTTGGGTTTGGGTTTGGGTGCAAATTCCTTTTCATCAAATTACAAAAAGAAACAAAAAATCGTCAGCCAGCAATTCAACCTTCGCTGGAATTCTCTCTCTCTCATATGTTTCTATGCTTTGCATTTCAAAAGACCACACATTTCTGGAGGAGAGAGAGTGTTTTGGTCACTACAGGTACCTCTCTGGTTCTACTTAACAACAGCCGAAATGGGGGAGAAATCTTCCTTGCTTTCTTATTGCATTTGGGAACCACCAATTATAGAGTGGCCCAACATGTTACATTGATCCAAACCACAAATCAAGCCCAGTTTCAATGTGCCTATTTTACGACAGCATCAATATCAGAATGTTTTCTCTCAGTGGACCTACAGTCGTGGTCAAAAGTTTTGAGAATGACACAAGTATTGGTCTTCACAAAGTTTGCTACTTCAGTGTTTTTAGATATTTTTTGTCAGATGTTACTATGGTATACTGAAGTATAATTACAAGCATTCCATTTGTGTCATTCTCAAAACTTTTGACCATGACTGTACACCAAAAAAAAGTATTGATTCAATGTACAATTTTAAGGCAACCAGCTGCAATAGGATTGTGAGTTTTGCTCAACAACTAACTATCCTATTGCAGCTGGTTGCCTTAAAATTTATGTTGAATCAACATCTTTTGTTCTACATTGTGGGTATAGCTGTGTGCGTGCATGCATGTCTATGAGAGAGAGCGAGAGAGACTGAAGATGGTAATATCAATAAGCCATATTTAGGGTCAGTTTTAGACTATTCAGGGTTTTATTTTCTCCTTCTCTCTATCTCTCTCTGTCCCAGATTGTTATGAGGACAATGGAGGGAATTACACAGGCAATTTATCCAAGACCAGATCAGGAATTCCCTGCGCACTGTGGGAAAATCATAGCAACAGGTACAGTAAACCTCATACGTCACACACACTTACCAGCCACACAAAACTGGAACTCACCCCTCAATCCATAATCACATGAGAAAAAGTAAAACTATGGCTTCAAGCAATTTATGGGAAAGTTTCTTTAACATTTAAAAAAAATGTTCTGGCTTTTTCGATTAACTGTTTATTGATGAGGTATTTCCCGTCGCTTAGTGAAAATCCCCTTGTAAATGAACAAAGCTAAGCCGTGAAAACAAACAACGAGAGGAAATCAGGGGCCCCACCCGGGTCAGTCCTAGGCCTGCTATTATTTGTCTAGCTGACAGAGAGGAAGCCTTACAGTACTTCCAGAACAAGCCACCCTGGAGGGGCGCCTAGTCTCTCCACGTCCGTGTGCCCCCATGCAAAAGTACCGTAGCTAACGTTGGACCTGGCTGCTAGAATTACTTAATTTAAAGGAATTTTAAAAGCCAAAATGGCAGCGACAGATGGACATGTGCCAGAGCTGACCCGTGACCCCAGGAAGTGCTTTCTCGGCCCAGCAGATCAAAGCCAATCAGCTTCCCTCATGTGGCCCGCAGCCAGCGAGTCTGCCCCTCGCACAAGGTCAAGGGGTCAGCACAGAAAAACGGCGAAAAGGTTATGGCTTGTTTAACATTGGCAGGGGAAGTTAAATTATCTTCACACTGGCTGACAAATCGGTTGCCCCCTCTCCTCACATTTTGTTTTTCTGAGGGTACCAGTCAATCCTGACCCAAGCCCTCCAACAAATTGGATCATATCTAAAGATATTCCAATTATTTTGAATGTATGAAACTGATGGATTGGAATTGCTGTTTCAACAAGACTACTGAAGGCATCTGTTTAGGCTCGGTTTAGTCTATGTGCAGTGAAGTATACGACCAGATCTTGAGTCCACGTTTACAGTGTTCGAACTGTATCTTTGAGTTGAGTCTGTAGCTTCTTCTTTGTCTGAACCGTGGTGAATACTGGGAGTGCATACTTTCATATTCCCCAGAGCACTCTTCACAAAACTCTGCTTTGCTTCCTTGTAAGGCCTCTGCATAGCTGGAACTCTGGGGATTCACTGCCCCTATAGTAAAAGCTGAGTCAAAGTTTCCAACCTGAACAAAGTTAGGGTGTCAGACTTTTCTGTGTGTATGTATGTGTGTGTGCGCGTTGGCCTCTTTACTGTATGTGTGTGTGTATGTGTGTGTGTGTGTGTGTGTGTGTGTGTGTGTGTGTGTGTGTGCGCCTTTGTACAGTATATGTGTATCTACAGTATGTGTCTTTGTGTGTATGTGCTTATGCATGTGTCCTCATATATGTTGTGTTTTCCAGTGGAGAATCCAGTGTGGGTCTGGAGAGGAACTTGTGCAGGAATCCAGACAAGGATAAGCACGGCCCCTGGTGTCACACTACAGACTCCTCCATCCCATGGGATTACTGCAAGCTCAAACGCTGTAAGAATTCAAAAAAAACTGTCTTCATCCAATCTTTGTCTCATCCCCTATACACCCTACATCTACCCTACATCTACCCTACATCTACCCTACATCTACCCTACATCTACCCTACATCTACCCTACATCTACCCTACATCTACCCTAAATCTACCCTACATCTACCCTACATCTACCCTACATCTACCCTACATCTCAAGTAATCGATAACGGAAATGGTTGAGTCAGCCATAATCGTGTGGTGAGTAATCTCGTATGAGACCTGAAGACTTGTGTTAGCTCCCTGAGCTAGTGCCTAGGCTTTAGCTCAGACAGTTAACATAGTCTTGTCGTGCACAGAAGACCTGAGTTCCGACCCAGTAGGTCTCATCAGCGGCCCAATCATCAGATGATGCCTCATCTTCAATTACATTTAGCTTTACTGAATGTCATTGTATAAAAGTACAGTGAAAATTATTGAGTCTAGCAACACTCATAGCTCTCATAGTGTTGTTCAATCAATCTTATGGGACATCAACAACACAGCAATGAGCTTAGTTCCATGAGTAATACAGTTATCGCTTTGTTTGTGATGTTTCCGTTGACATGATTATTGCACATTTGTAATACTACAATGAATGATGTAGTTTAACGACATATCCAACATCAGCGTTTGCTGAAATTTGCTGCAAAGCTTCACTCACTCACATCACTTGTTACAGTTATGTTATGACTTAGTGCAGTGGCTTCGCTTAGCTAACTGGCACAGAATGTGACACGCTCAAACTCCAAACAGATGTCGAATCTCATCCAGACTGATTTTATTATTTGCATTCAGTTATTCAGAGTTTAGTGATTTGTTTTTGTTGTACCCTGTATCATCTTAGGCGGACTGTAATAGGTTCACATTGATGGGGAGCTCTTTCTAGTGTCCTTGCGGTTATATCTTTTGAAGTTTTTGGGAGCTCGGCAGGAGGAAATGTATTTGCTGTAGGTTCAATTCAATATGGCCGCCCAACTGAAATGCAGATAGATGCAGAGATAAGTTGAGCTAGGACGAAATGGTAGGAATAGTTTTGTAGAGGGGAGTTGAGGTTGAGGTTGCATGCTTTGTATGTTAATGTTGAGTGGGTTCATGTGAAATATAATGTCTTTGTGAGGTCCGTGTGTTGAATTGTTGAATTGTTTTGCTTCAGGTGATAAGTCTCCAAACATCTCTGCCCACCCAAGAAGTGAGTGTCGTATTAATTTTGCATTTTCTTGCATACTATTCACCTTACTATTTATTTATCTTTCTCTCTCTCTCACTCTCTCTTTCTTTCTCTCTTTCGCTCTCGCTCCCTCTTTCTCTCTATCTCCCTCCCCTTTCCTCTCTCTCTGTCTTTATCCCTCTGTTCCTAACTTTCTCTTATAGCTGTACAGTTTATTTATTACCTGAGTTCATGCTTGGCTGGATAACTGATCACTCCCGCTGCCATTCAATATAATTAAACCTGGACCAAGCATACTCTCTTCATTAGTAATGATAGCAAGTTAAACTATTTCCCCAGAGTCTAACCCAGATGAGTTGTCTTTTTTCTTACCCCAAGGCATCTCTCTCGTGTCCAAGCCATCCTGCTTCATCCACAAGACCACCCGGATCGTTGGAGGAGCCCAGGTCCACAAGGCTAAAGATGGTAGCTGGGTTGTCAGCATCCAGAAAGGGTAAGTATCTGCACAGGAACATCACTACTGAATGTGTGACTGACCTGGGTTTGAACCTAGGTCTCTTGTGCTGGACAGTGTTAGCCAACTGAGCTAAAAGGCATTTGCGATGGGAGCTAACATAAGTCTTAGGTTAGCCAGCTGAGCTGAAGTCTAGGCATTGAGGTCTCAGGCCAAGTGACTCATCACATAAGCATGATACTCCTACTTTGAGTCTTCTGTCAGTTGCAAGGCAAACAAGTGCTCCCACTATATCATTTTATGCTAAACACTTTTCAGCAAAGTGCCATTTTGTTATTGCTCTGAAGATGAAGTCCTTAAAGTGTATTCGTTTTGGCAGCCCTATGTTTGTGCTAGAACACAGCTGTACACTCTTAGAAAAAAGGGTTCCAAAAGGGTTCTTCAGCTGTCCCCATAGGAGCACCCTTTTTGGTTCCAGGTAGAACCCTTTTTGGTTCCAGGTACATCCCCTTTGGGTTCTACCTGGAACCAAAGGGTTATACCTGGAACCAAAAGGGTTCTACCTGGAACCAAAAAGATGGCACCTTTTTTTCTAAGAGTGTACTGAACTTTGTTGTATAAAAGTCTTAACATTACCATGTGTTTTATGTGGTGTATCTATGAAAAAAGTATGAAAAAGTATGAAAAACAAACAAAAAAATGGTTTTCTGATAGGCTGAGCTGAGGTCACGCAAACTCACATTCAAAGTCAAACGCGGCATCAGCAAAGAGACCTGCTCCAACTCTGTCATCAGCTAGACCAGGGTTTCCCAAACTCGGTCCTGGGGCCCCCCCTAGCACTACACAACTGATTCAAATAACCAACTCATCATGAAGCTGTGATTATTTGAACCAGCTGTGCAAAAACCAAAACGTGCCCCAGGATCGAGTTTGGGAAACCATGAGGTAGACAGCCAAGATCATGGATTGTAAAAAACGAAAATGGTGCCTGTAAACGTAGCAAGAACACATTCTACATTGTCACCTCACTCATTTGGTCAAACAGTTAAGTGCATTACATTATCCTCATGATTCCTGTAATGAAAGTGTCTGCCCTGTGCCTGTTTTGCTGTGATGAGCGAGCCACTCTCCTCTCCCCCATGCGCTGGAGAGAAAAATGTGTTCTGATCATATAACATTTAAAAATGCAATTGCAGAAAAAAAACACAGCTTTAGAAGCTTTGTCCCTTTGTCCCTGTCGAAGAGAGGAGGGTCTCAGCTTTCTGGAGTTATCAATTTTATTTCTCAACTCTCTATTCAGCTTAATAGCAACAATTCTACAACCAAGATATGATATGGCTTTAAGATATGGAGCGGCATGCGTGAAATGCACACTGGCCATTCTGAGGGCATAGGCCTATAGGTCTCATAGGTAGTAGCCTACAATTGCAAAGTTTTATTAGGACACTAAATTTACTGTTGGATGAATACATAGCTACTAGCAATGGGTATTATATTTAGAGTTAGCAATCTAGTTAATGTCCTTTGAGTTTCCACTTCCTCAGATGTTGAACCCCAACTTAATTAGCATATTATATTAGTTAGTGCACATAAATACACTCTTAGTTCCAGGTAGAACCATTTTGGGTTCCATGTAGCACCCTCTGTGGAAAGGGTTCTACATGGAACCGAAAAAGGTTCTACCTGGAACCAAAAAGGGTTTTTCAAAGGGTTCTCCTATGGGGACAGCCAAATAACCCTTTTAGGTTCTAGAAAGCACCTTTTTTTCTAAGTGTATGTAATTCATCTCTATTGAAACAATTTAATCAGGAAACTCTGGAGTCCTATTTCGACAGTAAAATATAGCAACTATAGTCTAATTGTCAACCCAAAATTCATGTCAGTCACTGGATTAGGTTACACATCAAAATATCATGAGTCATGCATTTCTGCTTGGGACATGTTAAATGAAACAACTTATTTTTTGAATACCGCAGTAGTCTATTTATTACACTTGTTAATAAAGCACTATAAATGACTTCATAAGATGATTACTGATCATCTCATGGGCTGACACAAGGGGAAAATGTTAGTTTGGTGCTCTTTAGTAATTAACACTTATGGTAGGTTTTGATTCAGGGGAACACATATGACAGGCACTAATTTCCAAAATAGCCTAAGTCGTTAGCTTTTCTTTTATAACTTATGAGGCTTAAGCAGACAGACAGACAGACAGACAGACAGACAGACAGACAGACAGACAGACAGACAGACAGACAGACAGACAGACAGACAGACAGACAGACAGACAGACAGACAGACAGACAGACAGACAGAAAACAAGAAGAAGCACACACTGACAGCAGAGAAGATGCTGAGACAGATAGACAGCACAACAGGGAGGGTAACCAAATGGCTGGAGCAGAGGCACAGTTATAGTGGTGTGTTGTATCTCCAGACAGAGGAACAGTTATAGTGGTGAGCTGTATCTCCAGACAGAGGAACAGTTATAGTGGTGTGTTGTATCTCCAGACAGAGGAACAGTTATAGTGGTGAGCTGTATCTCCAGACAGAGGAACAGTTTATAGTGGTTGTGTTGTATCTCCAGACAGAGGAAACAGTTTGTTGTATCTCCAGACAGAGGAACAGTTATAGTGGTGTGTTGTATCTCCAGACAGAGGAACAGTTATAGTGATGAGCTGTATCTCCAGACAGAGGAACAGTTATAGTGGTGTGTTGTATCTCCAGACAGAGGAACAGTTATAGTGGTGTGTTGTATCTCCAGACAGAGGAACAGTTATAGTGGTGAGCTGTATCTCCAGACAGAGGAACAGTTATAGTGATGAGCTGTATCTCCAGACAGAGGAACAGTTATAGTGATGAGTTGTATCTCCAGACAGAGGAACAGTTATAGTGGTGTGTTGTATCTCCAGACAGAGGAACAGTTATAGTGATGAGCTGTATCTCCAGACAGAGGAACAGTTATAGTGGTGTGTTGTATCTCCAGACAGAGGAACAGTTATAGTGGTGAGCTGTATCTCCAGACAGAGGAACAGTTATAGTGGTGTGTTGTATCTCCAGACAGAGGAACAGTTATAGTGGTGAGCTGTATCTCCAGTGGTGTTTTTACATATGTGTCAGCACTACTGCCTGTGTCTAAGTAGGGTGTGTAGGGTCAGGGTGTAGGGTGTATGTGTGGGGATGTGGTGTGTGTGCAAGGCTGGGCTGAGTTGGTGGTGTGCGCAGTGATGTGGGCTGGTGTGGATAAAATGCCAGAGCTGAATTCTTGTCCCAGTCCGGCCCTGGACCAGTCGATCGCGATCAACCGTTTGGTGATCTCTGCTCTGTGTGTATGCCAACTTTTCTATTATTGAAGCAGGATAACGATCGATCTACTCCTTACAAGTTTCGTCCCACATGGCATCCTATTTGCACTACTTTTGACCAGAGCTCTTGGGCCCTGGTCAAAAGCAGTGCACTAAATACGGAATATGGTGTCATTTGAGACACATCCACACTCATTATGAAACAATGTCCAGACATTGAGGTAGACCGCAAGGTTTGACTGTATGACTTGACATGGATGGAAGAAGGCAACAGGTATCCTAGTGGTTAGAATGTTGGGCTGGTAACCGAAAGGTTGCTGGTTCAAATACCTGAGCTGTCAATGTGAAAAGTCTGTTGATGTGTCATTGAGCAAGGCACCTAAACCCACATTTTCTCTAGGGTGCTTTACTACTATAGCTGACCCTGTAAAACAACACATTTCACTGCACCTGTGTGACAATAAAACACCTTTATTTTTTATTAAGAGTAGGCTACAGTACAAACAGCATCCATAGAGTATAGGACTAAGCCTATCATGGTGTCCTGTGTTTCCCTACCCAGGAACACTCACTGGTGCGGTGGCTCGCTGATCCGAGAGGAATGGGTGCTGACGGATCAACAGTGCTTCTCCTCCTGGTAATCTCTCCATCCATCTTTATCTCACATTATTTTTTCCCTCGTTCAAAGCAGAGGTGAGAGACAGTAGGAGGCATAGGGAGAAGAAGAGGTGTAAAGAGGAGAGCAAGGGTTGAATGGAAACAGAGTTCAAACAAAGACCCTGGTCAGCCTCCCGAGTGGCGCAGCGGTCTAAGTCACTGCATCGCAGTGTTGCGGCGTCACTAACAACAGCCTGGGGTTCAATCCCAGGCTGTGTCATTACCGGCCGTGACCAGAGTCCCATAGGGTGGTGCACAATTGGCCCAACGTCGTCTGGGTTAGGGGAGAGTTTGGCCGGGGGGGCTTTACTTGGCTCATCGCACTCTAGCGACTCCTTGTGGCGGGCCGGGCGACCTGCAGGCTGACTCGGTCGTCAGTTGAACAGTGTTTCCTCCGACACATTGGTGCAGCTGGCTTCTGGGTTAAGTGAGCGGGTGTTAAGAAATGCGGCTTGGCGGGTCATGTTTCGGAGGACGCATGACTCGACCTTCGCCTCTCCCAAGCCCGTTGGGGAGTTGCAGCGATGAGACAAGATCGTAATATCATGAAATTGGGGAGAAAAAAAAAAAGAAATTACTTGGGGTGTCTATATAATACGCTCTCTCTGCTTCTCTATCAGTTTCTTATTCTTCCTCCTACTCTGCCTCCGTCTTTTCCTCTCCCTACTACTCTCTCCATCCCCCTGTCGGTCTCTATCTCCCTCTGTCTCCCTCAATCTGACTCTCTCTATCTCCCTCTATCTCCCTCTATCTGACTATCTTTCTATCTCTCTCTATCTCTCTATCTCTCTATCTCTCTCTATCTGACTATCTCTCTATATCTCTATCTCCCTCTATCTGTCTCTCTCTTTCTCCCTCTATCTGACTATCTCTATATCTCTATCTATCTCTATCTCTCTATATCTCTCTATCTGACTATCTCTCTATATCTCTATCTCCCTCTATCTGTCTCTCTCTTTCTCCCTCTATCTGACTATCTCCCACCCACCCTCCCTCCCTACCCCTCTCTCTTCCCATCTCCCTCCTTCTCTCTCTCCCCCTTCCTCTCCCTCTCTCCCTCTTCCCATCTTCTCTTTTCCCCATTCACATTCTAAGTGAAGATGCAGCCTGCCCATATCCTGTTTATGATAGGGCTAGTGACAGCCCCTCTGCCCCAGCAGAGCTGAGATATGGCCCAGGATGCTCCAGCCTCTACAGATCTGTTTAGCTTCTGGGCCCGTACCATGTCACTGTGTCCAGATCTGCAATAGCAGTTTGAAAGAAAAGCTCCTTGACCTATGTAGTGTGTTAATGTATGTATGGGCTTTAGATTATGGTTTTGCTTTTGACCCAGTTTTTCAATAGATTTTTGTTCGTTTTTGGTGCTATAGTACACCAGAAATATGAGGTTGGGCCAGGAGTTTTTTTTGTCAGTCAGACAGGCAGTCAGTCAGTCAGGAAAATGTTGAGCCCTAGTAATAGGCTATAACAAAGAATTGGCAAGTAATAATAATAATAATAAAAACATGTAATTTGTAGAGTGCTTTTCAAGGACCCAAAGACGCTTTACAAAGTAACAGTGTCTGTGGTAAATAATATTATGGTCAGGAAAACTCCTGTGCCTTGTGATGACACACTGTAATAAGAGGGTCATTTAGAAGAAGCTTTTATCAGTGAACTTACAATTACTTCATAGTTGTTTGAGAGACATTTTGGCAACAAATCAAACCAGGCCTCATCCACAGATAACAAAAAAGGCTTAAGCGCAGAAGTTCAACTTTAAGATTAGTCTGTCAATCAGATAAGACCTGGACTGTTTCCTCCCCATCTAGACTGTGTAAAACTCCTAATGCATTCTTATCGTTCATGCTTGGTATTCTAGTAGTGAGTGGTTTAGCTGTACTCCTCATGCCGACATTACAGAACCTTGCTTCCATCAAGACTGTGGTCATTGGCATCAGCATTAGTCCAGTAGCTTGTTGCTGACTATGCGATGTGCTGTATGTGGGTCATTTAACACAGTTAGTTGAGGAGCCAGATTTAGTGAGTGTGTAAAGTGTATGCTGAGGTTTTCTGTAGTCTATTGTCGGTTTAGTGATGCTGGTAGCTGTGGTCAAGTATGTGGCCAATGATAAGTGTTATGTTAAGTGTTGTTCATACAGAGAATAGAATAGAATACTGCAATACTGTATTTTACTGTATTGTATTATATTATTATTATTATTATTATATATTATAGTGTTTACACAAGCTGTGGCTAATCTTTTCTTATGTATAATGTTCAGCTTATACTGCTTATACCATGTTCAGGTTACACTGACTGGTCAATGTGTGGTCAACCCTATATGTAATGTTTCTGACAGTAGTCTCTGTGGTCCTCAGTGTTCCAGACCTGAGTGAGTACAGTGTACAGGTGGGCCTCCTTCACCTCAACTCATCCTCAGACCATCCCAGGCTCCGCATCGCACACGTGGTCTGTGGCCCAGAGGGATCCAACCTGGCCCTGCTCAAACTGGCCAAGTAAGAACAGCATTCATTCATTCAGTGAGTCAGTCAGTCAGCCATTTTACTTACCTGGTAAAATAAGGGTAAAATAAATAAAAAAGTGTAATTAATCCATCAATTCATCCATTCATTCATTCGTTCATTCATTCTCAATCATGCATTGTAGGCACAGCAACCATTTATTTATTCATTCATTCATTCACGTGTGTGTATCCTCACTGTGTTTATGTGTCCACCCCTAGGCCTGCCCCTCTGTCTGAGCATGCCTTCACCATCCAGCTCCCAGTAGCAGGCTGTGGGATCACAGACGGAACCAACTGTCTCATGTACGGCTGGGGAGAGACCAAAGGTACTGCCCTACATGACTATCCCTATGTTATGTCTTATCCCTGTGTGGTGTCTTATGTATTATATATATATATATACACTGAGTGGCCAGTTTATTAGGTACACCACCCTGTTCACGAAAATGGTTTGCTCCTACAGACAGTGAGTCACGTGGCTTTGGCTTGCTATATAAAGCAGGCAGACAGGCATCGAAGCATTCAGTTACTGTTCGATTGAACATTAGAATGGCCAAAATGAGTGACCTAAGCAACTTTGAGCATGGTATGATTGTCGGTGCCAGGTGTGCCGATTTCAGTGTCTCAGAAACGGCCGGCCTCCTGGGCTTTTCACACATGACAGTGTCCAGGGTTTAGCGAGAATGGTGCGACAAACAAAATAATCCAGTCAGCGGCAGTCCTGTGGGCGAAAACAGCTTGTTGATGAGAGATCGAATGAGAATGGCAAGAATCATGCACGCTAACAGGCGGGCCACAAACAGACAAATAACAGTGCAGTAGAACAGTGGTGTGCAGAACGGCATCTCGGAATGCACAACTCGTCGGTCCTTTTCACGGATGGGCTTATTGCAGCAGACAACTCCATTCCTATCAGCTAAAAACAAGAAGAAGCGTCTCCAGTGGGCACACGATCACCAAAACTGGACAATTGAGTAGTGGAAAAACATTGCCTGGTCCGACGAATCCAGGTTCCTGTTGCATCATGCTGATGGCAGTCAGGTTTTGGCATAAGCAGCATGAGTCCATGGCCCCATCCTGCCTGGTGTCAATGGTACAGGCTGGTGGGGGTAGTGTAATGGTGTGGAGAACGTATTCCTGGCACACGTTAGGTCCCTTGATACCAATTGAGCAAGGGGGGGGGGGGGGGGGGGGTATTGGATCAAGAGATCCATGATATTGTAGGAAAAGAGACCTTAGGATATCATGTGTTGAATGTGTGAATAAAGTCCCCCACAATGACACCATATAGACAAACATGTTGTCTAGGGCTATAGGTTTGGAATATGGTGAAATGGTGTTTGAACAGTAGACTGACTGTTTCCTGCTTTATTTCCGGCTACTTCCTGTCCAGGGACAGGATATGAGGGGGCACTGAAAGCTGTGAGTCTGCCCATGGTCAGTAACAACAGGTGTTCTGAGCTCCACGACAAAAACATGCCGGTCTCTGACAGCAAAGTGTGTGCCGGGGGCAGTAAAGACCAGGGAGTGTGTGAGGTGAGCTTCATATACATTACTCTACATCATCTGAAACATGCATTGACTCGACATCACATGACTCAATTATTACTTCAAGCTATTCGTAAATCTATCATAATGCCTTTTGATTGGCTGCATAAGCACCACGCTAACCTGCACTTGGTTCGTCCCTCACAGAGAGACTACGGTGGCCCTTTGGTGTGCCAGGAGCGGGAGAGCAAAGTAATTGTGGGCGTGAGCATCCACGGCCGAGGCTGTGCCCTGGCCCGGCGGCCCGCCATCTTCGTCAATGTGGCCTACTACTCGGGGTGGATCCACAAAGTCTTCATACACTACTCCAGGTTGGAGGAAAAACTACTGGAAGAAGCACCGACCAAACCGCTCCATTCAGGACTGCACCACAAGCCTGCAAGAGGAGGGGTGGAGCATTCAGGACTGTACCACTAGCCTGCAAGAGGAGGGGTGGAGCATTCAGGACTGTACTACAGCACTGTAAGAGGAGGGGTGGAATATTTAGGACTGTACCACAAGCCGGGAGGATGGGGAATGATCTCTCCAACAGAGGATGCCTAACTAACAAGACCGTTGGGAGATGTAAGAATGTGGAAACTGACTTTATGGGAAGCAGCCATTTTGGGGCTTCGTGGCTGGACGTCGCCTCCGTTTTTGGAGGGAAAAAACACCATGAATGAAGGAAAGATATTTTGGGACGTTCAGAGGCTGGGAATACAAGGACATGTTCAGAGAGGCTGAAAAGGATATGAAGGATTTTTATAATATGCAAATGGTTAATGCAGGACCAGGTTGTTATGCCTTGATCACACCGATAGCGTCATTGCGCAAAATAGTACGCAGCATCATCTGGATTGTGTGCAACAAAAGGTCAACATTCACCTTCTGCTACCATTTCTGTCAAGCCGTCTACGCATACAGTTTGACACATACGGTCGATAAATCCAACATATGCACCACACAGAATGCACTGCAACTGCCTCTGCAACGCAATGCTGCAAGGCAGACGCAGCATTCCATTGGAAATGAATGTACTTCTGGTGTACCAAAACGCATTGACGCTGTCGGTGTGATTGAGACGTTAGCTTTAATAACATTTCTAAACAATAGTTGCTGGCACATGGACAGTTCATTTTTGTGAGTGAAATATATGAATACTCTTAAGCCATAAAGAGGGATGAATTGATTCGTTCTCTCACTGCATCCACAAGACAATAGGAATGGTATGGATGACTCAGTATTGTCTCCTGGAAAATACTTGAATTTGGTCAGAACCAAAACCAGAGTCATGCGAGAAGGGATCCAGACAGGACTTGGTACGATCCGTGGCTACTGGGTCACGTTGAGGCCACATGATGGAATGGCTAAAAGTTCAGTCATTTAGAAGTTACCACTTGGTGAATGGTGAGAGAGGTTGTAACTCTCACCATTCACCAAGTGGTTGTTTTTGGAAAGACTGTTCAGTAACTGTTGCCTAACTAATGCTAATGCTAACAGTTACTTAGCCAAACATTAGCAGTTAGCCTACATGGCTAACATGTCTCCAGTTTTGGAGGGAACTCTACACTAGCCCCTGGTGGGCTGCATGTGTGTTATGTGGTCAGAGTTCAGAACATTTAGAAGTTTCTTATTGAGTGTATTTCTGGCACTCTGTGTTATTTAATAGGTCTTATAGATCTGGGCCTTTCCTTGGCTCGCTCACACCAGACGTCAGTGGAGTTGCTTCCTCTCTACTCTCTGTGTTTTATATTTAAACGGATTAGAACATAGTGTGCAGTCTATTTATTTATTTGTATACATCTGGCCCTTGTGAGAAGGCGCCAGCGATTGACGTCGACAAAGCGACACGTCTCGCTAATAGAGGAAGTAAAGGTTATAGCGGCTTTTTATTTGATACATGTTCTAAACTCAGTGTGTCAATCATTATTATTGGAGGTACACTGAATGGCAATACGGATTACATGAAAAGTATGGCTTGTGTTCCAAAACATACCACTTTGTCAGTCATTTTTCTTTGAACAATACTGACATGCAGTAAGTGTAATGACATTGGAGAATGTAATAATAGTTTTCTTTCAGTGCTGAAAATCAGTCATGAAATCCTTTTTATAATCACAGAAAGCAGATGTGTATGTATGACAACTAATGATCACTTCAAACTGAACATTTCTATTCTTGCTGGGCCCCTAAGAAGACTTATAATTTCATCCAATTTCTACATCCTAAAATATTCAGTTTGTAGTTTAACCTATGTCACAGTATTTGGCCTGTTCAGTGCCTTTTTTTAGGTGGTCAGGAATCAATAGTGTACTATAGAATTGGCGCAGAGAGCTGTGAGTGTATTTTACTGTTATGTAAATAGGATGTAAAGTAGTGTGTGTAAAATACTATTTTCCACTTCCAATGTCTTATTTACGTAGTATTTTACTCATATATGGTCACTCTGTTTATAAACTTGTATACTGTAAACTCTATAACAGCTGCTATTTTTAAAGGGTCGGGTTGGGTCTTCATATTATAAACTATATGATTTTATTATATTCACATTTTAATAATACATTTACAGTGTAAATTAGAGCTTGTTTCACTCTTTTCATACTGTGTGTGTGTGTGTGTGTGTGTGTGTGTGTGTGTGTGTGTGTGTGTGTGTGTGTGTGTGTGTGTGCCAAGCACTCTCTCCTAAAGTAAACCTTCAGACAAAGACTCTTGCAGCAATACAGTTTTCTGCAACGCATACGCTCTCAACACAATTCAAGATACTCAGTACAGTAGCTTTAGTAATTCATGTTATTCAAATGGGATTTTCAACACATTGTCAGACTAAATGAACCCAGTTAAGTTTACTCTGGGTCAAGTTCTTAGACTGGGTATTATCTTCCCACTTCCCATGTCAATCATATCAATAAGACCTCAGTCTGCTTCTTGAATTGAAGTCGATTTAAAATATTTGTCTGTTGGGGAAATACACAGTGGTGTAAAGTACTTAAGTAAAAATACTTTAAAGTACTACTTCAGTAGTTTTTTGCGGTATCTGTACTTTACTTTACTATTTATATTTTTGGCTACTTTTACTTTTACGTCACTACATTCCTAAAGAAAATAATGTACTTTTTACTCCATACATTTTCCCTGACACCCAAAAGTACTCGTTACATTTTGCATGCTTAGCAGGACAGGGAAATTGTCAAATTCACACACTCATCAAGAGAACATCCCTGGTCATTCCTACTGCCTCTGATCTGGCAGACTCACTAAACACACATGCTTTGTTCGTAAATTATGTCTGAGTATTGGAGTGTGCCCCTGGCTATCCATAAAAAAATTATAACACAAGAAAATGGTGCCATCTGGTTTGCTTAATATAAGGAATTTTAAATAATGTATACTTTTACTTTTACTTTTGATATATAAGTATATTTTAGCAATTACATTTACTTTTGATACTTAAGCACATTTAAAACTAAATACTTTTAGACTTTTACTCAAGTAGTATTTTACTGGGTGACTTTCACTTTTACTTGAGTCATTTTCTATTAAGGTATATTTACTTTTACTCAAGTATGACAATTGGGTACTTTTTCCACCACTGGAAAAAACCCATTGGAAAAATCTTAGTGGGAAAGCATTCGAAAAAGGAATTTGTGAACCTTGCGCTGAACTATTCCGAAAAGCAAGAGCAACATTGTAAAGACAATGTCATCCTCTTCTAATAACCTTAATCAAACAATCAACCATGATGATTTATGGCATTTAAAAGCTTGTTGCAGTGACCTCAGAAATATATAAGTAGTGCTATGGAGGTTATGCTCAGACCCTGTGTTGTGTTTGTGTGTTGATCCTGCTCAGTCACCGTGCTGAAGTATGCGTGCTCCCTTCCAAAGCCAACAAGAGAAGGCCATCTCAAAAACTGAACCTAGATCGCTCTCTGAGCTAATGGCTCTATCTCAGCTTGTCTTTCTGCCATTCTTCAGGCCTTTCCTCGCCTACTCAACCGCAATTCATTCAGGGTATGGGTAATCGAGGAAAGATTCATTTAAAAAGAGCCACAGGAAAACGTCACGGAACTACAAAGGTCTCTTGGCTTTGAGTGTTTGGGAAACTCATCCTCTGGACCATTTAATTTTGGTTCACGGTTCCAGTTGAGGGGATGCAGTACAGCAGAGGTGCCCAACCTTCCGCCTGTAGAACTACCCTCCTTCAGACTCTCGCTCCAATGCTAATTTAACCCACGTGACTCTACCAATTAGCTGCTCACTAGGACCTTGATTAGCATAATCACTGTTGTAACAACTGAGTCAAAGCAACAGACATTCATACCGTAATCTGGGCCCCAGGGTATACCATAGTCTTGTCCCCCAGGGATACCTTAGTCTGGGCCCCAGGGGTACCTTAGTCTGGGTCACATGGTATACCTTAGTCTGAGCCCCATGAAATACCGTAGACTGGGCCCCAGAGTATACCATAGTCTTGGCCCCCAGGGATACTGTAGTCTGGCCCCCAGGTATACCTTAGTCTGGGCCCCCAGGGAAACCTTAGTCTGGGCCCCAGGGTATACCTTTGTCTGGGCCCCGGGTATACCTTAGTCTGGGCCCCGGGGATACCTTAGTCTGGGGCACCAGGGTATACAGTAGTCTTGGCCCCCAGGGATACCGTAGTCTGGGCGCCAGGGTATACCGTAGTCTGCTGATTTTGTACGTTTGCCCACTGACAAAGATATGATTAGTCTATAATTTTAATGGTAGGTTTATTTGAACAGTGAGAGACAGAATAACAACAAAAAAATCCAGAAAAATGCATGTCAAAAATGTTATAAATTGATTTGCATTTTAATGAGGGAAATAAGTATTTGACCCCTCTGCAAAACGTGACTTAGTACTTGGTGGCAAAACCCTTGTTGGCAATCACAGAGGTCAGACGTTTCTTGTAGTTGGCCACCAGGTTTGCACACATCTCAGGAGGGATTTTGTCCCACTCCTCTTTGCAGATCTTCTCCAAGTCATTAAGGTTTCGAGGCTCCCTCCACAGATTTTCTATGGGGTTAAGGTCTGGAGACTGGCTAGGCCACTCCAGGACCTTAATGTGCTTCTTCTTGAGCCACTCCTTTGTTGCCTTGGACGTGTGTTTTGGGTCATTGTCATGCTGGAATACCCATCCACGACCCATTTTCAATGCCCTGGCTGAGGGAAGGAGGTTCTCACCCAAGATTCGACGTTACATGGCTCCGTCCATCGTCCCTTTGATGCGGTGAAGTTGTCCTGTCCCCTTAGCAGAAAAACACCCCCAAAGCATAATGTTTCCCCCTCCATGTTTGATGGTGGGGATGGTGTTCTTGGGGTCATAGGCAGCATTCCTCCTCCTCCAAACACGGCGAGTTAAATTGATGCCAAAGAGCTCGATTTTGGTCTCATCTGACTACAACACTTTCACCCAGTTCTCCTCTGAATCAATCAGATGTTCATTGGCAAACTTCAGACGGCCCTGTATATGTGCTTTCTTGAGCAGGGGGACCTTGCGGGCGTGGCAGGATTTCAGTCCTTCACGGCGTAGTGTGTTACCAATTGTTTTCTTGGTGACTATGGTCCCAGCTGCCTTGAGATCATTGACAAGATCCTCCCGTGTAGTTCTGGGCTGATTCCTTACCGTTCTCATGATCATTGCAACTCCACGAGGTGAGATCTTGCATGGAGCCCCAGGCCAAGGGAGATTTACAGTTATTTTGTGTTTCTTCCATTTGCAAATAATCACACCAACTGTTGTCACCTTCTCACCAAGCCGCTTGGCGATGGTCTTGTAGCCCAGTACAGCCTTGTGTAGGTCTACAATTTTGTCCCTGACATCCTTGGAGAGCTCTTTGGTCTTGGCCATGATGGATAATTTGAAATCTGATTGATTGATTGCTTCTGTGGACAGGTGTCTTTTATACAGGTAACAAGCTGAGATTAGGAGCACTCCCTTTAAGAGTGTGCTCCTAATCTCAGCTCGTTACCTGTATAAAAAGACACCTGGGAGCCAGAAATCTTTCTGATTGAGAGGGGGACAAATACTTATTTCCCTCATTAAAATGCTAATCAATTTATAACATTTCTGACATGCATTTTTCTGGATTGTTTTGTTGTTATTCTGTCTCTCACTGTTCAAATAAACCTACCATTAAAATTATAGACTGATCATGTCTTTGTCAGTGAGCAAACGTACAAAATCAGCAGGGGATCAAATACTTTTTTCCCTCACTGTACCTTAGTCTGGGCCCCAGGGATACCATAGTCTGGGCCCCCATGGATATGTTAGTCTGGGCCCCAGGGATATGTTAGCCTGGGCCCCAGGGATACCTTAGCCTGGGCCCCCAGAGATACCTTATTCTGGGCCCCCAGGGATATGTTAGCCTGGGCCCCAGAGATACCTTAGTCTGGGCCCCCAGGGATACCTTAGTCTGGGCCCCGGGGATACCTAAGTCTGGGACCCCAGGGATACCTTAGCCTGGGCACCAGGGATACCTTAGTCTGGGCCCCAGGGCCACAGTGTCTCCTGACCCCCCCTGTCTCAGCCTCCAGTATCTATGCTGCAACAGTCTATGTGCCAGTGGGCTAGGGTCAGTCTGTTTTATCTGGTGTTATTCT